AGACTGGAAGACAAGGCGCCATGTCGGAAGACACTGGGGGCCGACAAACCAAGATACCGTCTTGGGATGGGTCAGCGGATGCTTTCCAGAGCTACTGCGAGGCTGCGCTCTTATACGAGCAAACGACCAAGATACAAGATCGCTACCTGGCGGCACCGAGGTTAATTGGAGAGCTCCAGGGAGCTGCCAAGCGACTGGTGGTGGGTCAGAGACCTGACTGGGTTAGCTTTAACGGAGGGGTGTCACATCTACTCCAACATCTTCGTCGTTGCCTAGGGAAGCCTCAAGTCCCAGAGCTCACGGAACTTCTCGCTCGATATTTCAAGACCTCCAAGCGGAAGCATGGGGAACTCATGGGAGAGCACATTACTCGTAAGTGTGAGTTGTACGTTCGAGCACAGCAAGCTATGCATCGGATGAAGCCACATCATGATCGTGCTGAATTCAAGAGTCCTGTGGATTGGCCAGGAGGATGGGGCTCTCATTCAAGGAGAGCCAGCACCGACTCCAGAGCCAGTACTGACGGTGGGACAAAGGGAGGTGCCAGTGAGGAACCTCAAGCCGCTGCTCCTACATCAGCAACAGCCACAGCCTCAGCTGCCTCCGAGAATTCAGGGCCTACGGCTAGGACCAATGAAGATCAGGGCTACGCATGGACAGACTGGTCTTGGTACGGATATGGGAATTCCTGGAGTTGGCAAATATCAGCAATCATGGAGTTGGCAATCTCAGCCATGGGGAGGCCAGGGGTACTACACAGAGAACCCTAGTGGAGCCCTCCCCAAGCTTGTCCCAGAGTTCGTGCAAGCTTCTGCAGGATGCTGGACTGGAAGCTCATGAAAAGAACACAGTGATTGTGGCCACCCAGGGAGAGATGACACTACAGAGGGTGGCACAAGAGCTTCGTAATCAGTTTGCTGACGTGGACCTCAAGAAAAGGGATGCCTCCCGCAAGTATCAAGGATACGCTGGAGAACATCTGGAAGGCAGCGACAGCGAATGGAATGTCCAGGAGACCTCCTTTGACGCGGAGGCGGAACTGACTGCGGAAGGATACGCTCTCTGGAGTGAAACAGAGGGCGAGATTCAGGGCGCCATGGCAGCTTTGGATCAAGCAAGAAGGACTCTTCGAGGAGCTCGAGAGCGCCAAAAGCAGGTGAAACAGAGCCGCCAGTACTTCCGGTATGGCTCCGGGAGTAGGAGATCTGAAGGCTCTTCGACTAAGGACGAGAAGATCATCTGTCTCCGGCGCGGCAAGCCGGGACATAAGGCCGCCGCATGTACAGCAGAGATACCTCAGGCCTCTGCGGTGGAGATGGCACCTTTCACCTGCTACGCTCAGGACAGCGAGCCGATGGAAGAAGCCTGGAGCGCACAAGGGTCAGCGCATCGCCCAAGCACTGGAGATGCCGCGGCCGCAGGAAAGGCGGTCATCGACTGCGGGGCTACCAAGTCTCTGGGATCAGTGCAGGCGCTTGAGCAGCTGATGCGAGTAAGCAAGCTTGGGGTGAGTCAGGTGGATACTGTAGATAGACCAGTTTTGGGGTTCGGAAACTCGTCAGAAGACCGCTGCATATCCACTTTGCATTTGAACATTCGCGCCGGTGACAGGCCCGGGGTCAAGATTCACGCCCTGAACCGTGGAGCGGGTCCCATATTGTTATCTGTGGCTACCCTTAAGGCGTTGAATGCTACAATCGACTTCGGGGAAGGCACCATGGTGTTAAAGAATGTGGACAATCGCAAGCTGCTAACCTTAGAGGAAACCCAAACCGGGCACCTTTTACTTCCGCTAGCTCAAGACCTCCTTGCCGGAGCCCAGGGAACAAGCATGTCGATTCCAAGCCTCAGCTCCTACTTGGCCCAGGAGGACAATTTTGTGCATCAATCAGGTTCTGTGAAAGTGCCAAGCATGAACCAGTCCTCCCTGCCAGAAGAGTAGGGACAGCTCCTTCCTGATCCGAGTCTTGACGGAAAAGGGAAGGGAGGCATCGCCAGGGTTTCAAGACAGGGGTTACACACAACTGAAAGCAGTTGTGCAACATGTCATGTTAAAGAGTGCGCAGTGCATGTGAGTGTTAATTCCCAGAGTAATGTTCAACATGTAGTGCCGCAGCAGCAAGATGTACAGACAGCCGCAGCCGCACAATCCGAACCAGGAGAGATTTCCTCAACAGTCGTTCCTGAGACTTGCTCAGCTCATCCTCATGGCCGACCTGACTCGCGAACAACTTCGACAAGTTCTCATCGACCTCGGCGAGACTCCGGTGCCCAGCTGGGCGAAAGTGGAGCTTCGTCACCGCATCTCCGAAAAGACCGGGGAAGACATGTCCAAGAACTTCAAGACGCAGAGCAAGGTCCTCTCCCCATGCCAACAGCTGGTGAAGGGCCTGAACCGCGCCTCCAACAAGAAG